GTCTCATTTCCGTAAAGCATTAAATTAATATTTGCGTTTAAGTTGTTCGAACAGTGATTGGTGAAAAATAATTAAGCTTGTTTTTAAACACTATTAATAAGAGACAATATTGAAAATAAAAAACAAACCAACTTGTGTTTCAATACATTTTTAGGGAGATGTAAAGAAAAAACGAGAGAAAATTATACGTTTTTTTTTTACTGGTTGAATTGTGTGTACTTAACAACCTGAGACCTCGTTCTTTACGTTTCTCTTCATACTGTTCTCTTATTTCAGTATCACATTTCAGGCGAGGTGAATTTCAAATATACCACTCACAAGCAAGATCAGAAATTGGATTTTCTTCGATTTAAGTGTTAAGATAATTTACAAATTAAGATACGAAAAATAAATTATTTTAATGTTATTGTTTTGAGTCTAAGTTACTTAAAAAAAGAGCAGTAAATTTATCAAGACACACGGTTGTGTGATGTGCGGCCAAACCAACCTGCATAACACACCGTGTGTTATTAACAGGATTGAAAGTTTAGCAATTTTCCACTGTCTGTAGCTCGGAATGTGGTGATCCAAAATATCACATATTTTCAGTAGATGTGCACTACTGGACCCTTATTTGACATATATGATTTCAAGGCAACCCATAAAAGATTAACACCACATATGAAACCTCCAGTTTTGATTGAATTTCTTCCTTTTTTTTTTTTTCGTCGCACCGAAAGTACCAGAACTCTGATAGAAAAAAATGCTTAACTTTCATGGATTTTTTTTTTCTAATTTGGTCTAAATATAAACAACATGTGCAAAGTTATTCAACAAAAATCAGTCAATTTGGACCAAAATATTTGTGTACGCCTTCGCAAAAAGTTACTGTAGCTATCGGTCTAAATTGTTTACTACAGCTTCACCTACGAGTAAAGGTGGACCGTTTTTAGTCATTCGGATTAAAGACGGCTGATTTAGAGCAGTAAAACTATATGCGGAGAGCACGTGCAGATGCACACGTATTGATTAGGCCAAGCAAACTAGATCAGCAGTTTATAGCTCAAGTTTTCAAAAGAATCATGCGGGTGGACGGTTATTATTCATTGCCAACTTTTAATCACAGATTTGTTAGATTTTCTGAAATTTTCCTAAGTAAAGAGCGTTTAGCGTCACGTGATATTAGCTTAAGCCTGATAAGTTCTACAGAGTGCACGAGGGTGATAACAAGAAATTGTTAATCTAGTTTCCATGGCGTTACTATAAAGGAAGTTACCAGCACTGTTTAAGAGAGGATAAACAACCACCATATATTTTAAAGAATCTGGTTGGTTCCGTAAAGTAAAGATCTGTTCCGAAAAATAGTGTTGTGATCCTAAAGCTAATGTGACATTTTGGATATTCAGATTGATTCCAACTGCAGGTTACTTTTTGTGTAATAATAAACAGAGAATTCTCCATTTCCCTCCATCATTGGAATATTTTAAATAGAAATTTTGGTTCCACATGCAAGTTTATTTTGTACAATAATACAGTATATTCCCCTCTCTCTCTCTCCATGTACCATATCCAAACAGGACATGGTGACCATGGTCTTCCACAGATCTCTCCCCCTCTATGTACTATATCCAAACAGGACATTGATGACCATGGTCTTCCACAGATCTCTCCCCCTCTATGTACTATATCCAAACAGGACATTGATGACCATGGTCTTCCACAGATCTCTTCTTCTCCATGTACCATATCCAAACAGGACAATGGTGACCATGGTCTTCCACAGATCTCTCCCCCTCTATGTACCATATCCAAACAGGACGTTTGTGACCATGGTCTTCCACAGATCTCTTCTCCTTGAGACACAAAGAATTTCCAATGTTGATACAGTCATTCATTTAGATAGACTCTGCACAACTCAACCTCTGTCTTACAGATACATCACAAGTAATTATAAAGTTGTTTCTTTTTAAGTTTACCAGTAAAATATTTACATATTCGTTGTGAAATTTTAATACATTCAATGATTTAAACTTCCATATTTCGCACATTAAAAAAAAAATCGCTTGTAATACATTTTGTCTTTTTTTAGACAAAATCATTTGTATAGTTATAGTTTTACCACTAGTGTATGAGCATCACATGTATCAAATATATGTGTGTAAGAAGTTTATTTAAAAAAAAGAAAGACTCTTGGAATGTTGTCTCATTACCACACTTACTTTTTCGATAAAGAAATATCATCCTTCAATCAGTTCAACAATAAGCTATCCATGATGAACCTTTTCAAAAACGTGCTTTGTCTTTTGAATAATCTCTAGTGAAGCTTTAAATTACATCAAATAAAGCCCTCTATCTGGAAACATTTTAACTTTAATACAAGCTTTTAAAAACTAAAGGTACATTTTCATATAAAGTTTTAATGATTAATGAGAGATAAATAAAAATATGCCAATTTACTGATTTAAAAGGTTTTAAATTTCCAGCTACTTAAATATTATTGAAAATGCAGACTTCATGAGAAACATATGTTCAAACAGAACATTTACCAATCAATAAAAAGATACAAGATAGCCATAGAACCTTTTTATCACACAACATCCTTATGAGAACTTTGTGAACTAAAAAATACTGACCCACATACATATATATCTAATGTTCCTAAGAATACTTGAAAACTTTCATGGAATCAATTGAAAGGCATAATGGTTTGCATTAAATTATATATATTTTTTGAATTTCTGTATCAACTTAAATATTATTGAAAATGCGGACTTCATGAGAAACATATGTTCAAACAGATCATTTACCAATCAATAAAAAGATACAAGATAGCCATAGAACCTTTTTATCACACAACATCCTTATGAGAACTTTGTGAACTAAAAAATACTGACACACATATATATCTAATGTTCCTAAGAATACTTGAAAACTTTCATGGAATCAATTGAAAGGCATAATGGTTTGCATTAAATTATATATATTTTTTGAATTTCTGTATCAACTGTGTTTCTTTTAGTAAAGCAATCGAGAAGCTTAGTTAGTTATAAAATACTGAAACATATATACAGTTGTTTTTTAAGACTCATAACATAGGTAAATTAATATGTAGACTTACACACAGACTGTTCTCTACATTGAAATATTTACTTTTACTTGTAAATTTCAGTCTTTTACCAGAACCTACATCTTGCAACATTGTACTGAGCAATACAAATTCATTAACAAATTTGTATTGCTCATTATGTTGTAGATTGATGAAGGCTCCAGTAAGAGGACTCAAAGCTTGCAAGGTATTTGAATGCAGAAAGCAGTCCATGTATAATTCTACATATATGTGTGTATATAGTTGTTACTTTTATGGCTTAAGCACTACGTATGTAACAATGATCTGTAAGAAGATGATTTAAAAAGGACTTTTTGAGTATTGTCTGACTACACTTATGTCTTGTGTAATGAAATGTGATCCTTCCAATTTCCATTTTCAAGAGGAATGTGAAATTCGATGATCTAACACAAAAAATATACTTAATGATCAAAACAAAAAAAAATAGTTTATTTACATACATTTAAGCACCAGCTATTAAATATATGATACACACAGAAAACGCATGATATAAAATGCATCTAATTCCCATAAAAAAATTTTCGTTTTAAAACCATAATTAGTTGTTCGCGTAAATGCATCTTAAAGTTTTCATACCATTCCACAATCTTAATTCTTCTTGCCTTCTTTTCTTCGGATGATAACAGAAATTCCTTTTGCATGACCTGGGAAAGCTCCGACCAGTGTTTCACATAAATAACTGGTGCATCATATAGCTTTAGTAAGCGTAATGGGGATTCAACACCTAACAAGGCTGATGCTTTTGAATCAGAACAGTCTCCAGGTGTATTTACATCTTCAACAACAGGGACGGAACCAAAGGACATGGCCTCGTAGATGCGATAACATTCAGGATTCATACCCACAGGATTTAAAGTCAAGTCACTAAGTTTTAAACTCTCAATGTAGGACTCTAGACTTTCTTTTGTTTCTGCTGCCTGCCATCTGTCAAAAACAAAAACTATTCTTAAAAAAACAAAACAAGCTATTAATTCAGAAACTTTTACACATTTATACAGAAAACAAACAAAGGAGTAACCTTAGATATATGATATACATATACTGCTTTCAATTATATTTATATAATTAAAAAATAAATATTGTTTGATTATTTAATTAGCTGATATTCAGAACACTGCTGACAACTAGGTAAAAAACTCATAAAGCCAAATATGGAGCCACAACCACTGAAACCTAAGTTAGTGTTATAACCCCCAAAACTTATTGCCAAGCCAATGGGAAGGATAATCCTAGAAAATTCAGTTATTCCCTTTACAATTGTTAACTTATAATGACAAAGTAAAAGTCACCTTATAGCTTGTAAGTTTACTGAAAGACAGTGTATGTGGTTTGGACATTTGCAAAGAGCTATTCAAAAACCATCACTAATTTTGAACTGAAGGACTAAATGGAAGACAGCTAGCTAGTCAACAGCACCCAATGAAAACTTTTGGGTGCCTCTAATTAAATAGTAGGATTTGACTGTCACTCTTAGAACACACCCACAGTTACAAATTGTGAAGAATAATTTTGTGGCAACAGGATGTAAACCATGGACCCTCAGAGCCACAGTTTTGCATGCTAAACTTCTACTAAACACCTTTAGTCTTAAATGTGAACCTTGTACTCATTAATTCTAGATATTTTACGGAAAGAATCCAGTCCTTTGAATATCTCTTTCTTGTTAACTACTAGCTCATTACTGTTGATGATGAATCTTTAGAAACACCAATTACAAGATAGTAAGAGGATGTTAAAAGGAGGATATTTCTTCATACCAGACCACAACATGCTTAATCTTTTGGAAAAAGTGTAATATCTCTTATTTATGTTGTGTTGAGTCACAAATGTTTTTACATCTGATAATTTGTTTACTAAGTTACAAGCACAAAAATGTCTCATAACAATGCTAATAAACCTTTTCATTGAGTCAGATTCACATGTATTAATGAAAAGGGCATACGATAAGGAAAACCTTAAGTCATTTTATGAGAAAGTTGAAAGAAATGTCTTCATTTAATTTCACACACATAATTGTCCAGCAAATTTTTAGATATAACAGTTACTTTAAATAACTTTTTACAACAATTTATCATAAACCCAATGATAAATTTCTTCACTTTTATAAGCTAGATCCACTTCATTACAATAACTTTTCCATTTAATCAGATCCTTACTTTGTTCTTTAGGTAGAGATAATCAAATTATTTTAATAACGAATATGGCAAACTACATGGTACATTTAATTACTGTGAATATCCACATTAACTACTGTCCCATCATATAACTAAAGCAATTAATTACAACACTGAAACACCACGAAAACAGACAAGCGGGTAAGCATCAACTTTAGTATCCCATACTTTTAAAGTGGTTTAGTTCCACCAAGGTGTAAAAAATTCATGTTAACAGTCTCTCTCTCTTTCCAAACCTTCCAAAACATATCTACTTTCCATCTCTCAATTGATAACATTTCAATGTGCCTCAAGACTGGATAATTAGGGTTGTTTCTTCTTTCCCTTTGTATTGAACTATGCCTCATTGTGAAAATGGTTTGTTGCCTTGAAATTTCCATTCATTTAATGTATTTCAGTATACTAAACTCACTGTATATCTACAGCTGTTAAATCTTGAAATTCAAGAATTATAACACTTATAAAAATACTGACCTGTAAGGCCTTTAATGCTATTTATTTGTTTCCTCTACTTTTCTCAATTGTGGTGCATTTTCTACGTGTAAAACTAGATGTACTTTAGGAGTAAAAAGCACAATTGTCCAGAATTTATCACAAGAAACAAAACCAGTCAGTGTCTACTGAAACACTTATGGTTTGTTATCTTTTAAAATTGTTGTTACTTTTTTAAAATTCAGGAGCATACTCTAATATAAAAGGTTATCATCATGTTTGAGCTACTGACTCACTGGGCTTTAAGTCATAAATTCTTTCTCTTCTTCTGCTCTGTGTAATTTACTGTGGTGTATTTGCATCATGATCTCGCACTGTAGCAAGGTACATGTTTCAGTCACTAAATAATATATTCTGTTCATTTGTATCAAAGTCGAGAAGGCCAAAAGCACTCAGCTATCTTTTATTATTTTGTTTCTTCATTTGATTAGTTTTGTATCTTTAATTTCATGCTTTATTCCATTTCTATTTTTTCTGTGTTCATTGTAATATACATATTTTTCTAATGTGAAAATTTTGGATAAGTTTCATATCTTTACTTTTGTGCTTTATTCTATTTATGCTTAATTGACAAAAACCTTTTCAAGTTTATAAATACCATTCCCTACTTGGCACAGTAAATACCCTATTTTTACTTATTGGTTTTTGGTAGATCAGTGCACAATTATTGTTTATATTTAACAATATATAGATATCATAATGGCAAAATTTGTTAGTTTAGCAACACTAACAAAAATTCATAACAATTATTGTATTAGAAAAAATATATTCTCTCCATTTGTTTGTCTTCCAAAGTATATTAAGAATCTTTCGTCTTTTAGTTGAAAAAATTTTCTTTCAGAACCAAGCAAATCTGATCTAAAATATATTCTGTTACTATTTCGGTATATTGAAAACATTTCAACTTAAAGTTCCGACAACACATAACTGCAACCACTCTTTAAGTAAAACAATGCAACACAGATTTGAAACAGCTGTTTCTTACTCTTTCCTGGGCTTCACAATACAGAATTGGTCTAATTTATTCTGTTGAATAATTTCTAGCAGTTGTTGTCTAGAGGAATGGGGATAAATTGTTCCCACATAATTACACGTGAACGGGCGATTTGTATCAATATCCAAACTTCGCAGCTCAGGCTTGGGAAAGTTCCGATAGCTACAAAAAACAAAACTTTTTATTGATTTTATTTGAAATAAGATTAAAACTTTAACATTAAAAACTCATTAGTTTTTTAATCATTTTAACACAAATAAAGCAAGGTGAATAATACAGGTATAAGAAAATAGTATTTACTTACTTCTTTCATGTCAATTAATAACACTACACAAAATTAAAATGGAACATATTAAGGTGCATTTCAAGGGATTTTTTTCTTCTTCAGAATATATCTTGTTATTGAAACTACAATTTCAATTTAGATAAAACATTCATTTACTGGCTTAAACACATTATTTACATATAAAAATTTTTATCTCAAAAGAAAGGATGCAACAATTACAAAATTGCTTTCCTTTCTAGAATGAGTGAGTGAGCACTCATCTTCTATCTTTAACTTGCAAGAGCAGGTGTACATATCGAAACTTACGATCTGCTATATCAAAAGTCTCTATTGTAAAAAATTATCTTTCATGTTCTCAAAAGTATTTTTATACGAATAATTAGAACTTCAACAGTTGTAATGGCTGTTAAATTCTAGCAGGGAAAATTGACGGTGGGCAAGGTTATAAGAGTCTGGAGAGACTCATAACTGTTAGTTGATAACATGGAAGACTGATAATAACTCCATTGATTTGTTGCATTATGCATGATAGTCTACCACTCAAAAATTCATCTTGATTTTACATACCTATATTGTTTTATGCCAACTTTGTGTATATAATTTTTCCACATATACTTTTGAAAGTCCATTTTTTAGCTATTGAAAATATAAATGGAACACAAAACTGCCTCAATACTTTTTCATTTCGAGCTAAATCACAACAAATTAAACATAAATTTAAGATTTAAACATGTACTGCATGCTTAATTCAGTTGTTTCGTAATTTACCCAGAATGCATTTCTTCAAATGAGTTTATTTAATTGGAAATATGTTACCAAAGTCTAACTTTTTTTTTTGTCAAAAACATTTGTGTACTTTTACTCTAAAATATCACTCATTCTCAAACATAAAACCTCAACAACTCAAATTTTGCTAGTTGTACAAAAAAAGTGAATACCAAAACATCATATTACTTATGGTTTGTTTGTTAAGAAATATTTACGAGGAATATTCTACTCACGTAGCAACTCCTAAAGGCCACTGAAAGAAGTGAACATTATCAATGAGTGGACTATCGTAGACAAGAAAAGTTACATTGACACGACCTCCATTAAATGACATATAAGGTAAAAGCCAGTCATTATGACATTGTTCATTGCCTAAAAGGACAAGTGCTACGTTTTTTAAATATTTCAATTTTGGAAGAAACTCCAACCACACTTTGGCAAATGTCACTTTTTCTTCATTTCTTCCATTTAGTATAAGGATGAGATTCTCAACATCAGAAGGAGCTTTGAGAGGAATTAACCCAGGACCAGTGCGAAACCTAAATATAATTTAAAATATATTAATATAGGAGTGAATATAAACACACTCACTGAGCACAATAGAGCCACAAAATACTATACAATATAAAATGTATTTAAATCTGTTAGACATCAATAACAACAATACAATAACCTGTCTATACAATTTCACTTTTTTTTTTCTGGTTGGTTGTATGAAAAGGTAACACGATGAGATATATAGTTTCAAACATTACACATATGCAAGTCTGAAAAAACATCTTAGCTTTTCATGCTTAATACATGCCATTTCTTACTGAATACAAATATATCAACTGTTGATGAAATTTCATAATTTATTATATAATAGGATTAGAAAAAAGGGAAGCAGTAGCCCATTTAAACCTTTAGTTAATCTTATTAGTGACAACATACAGTTAATATAAAATTAAAAAAAAAGAACAGAAATGCAAAATACAGTGAAGAAACCACAATCAAGGTTTTTTTTTTTTTTTTTTTTTAATTTTGTGCAAAGCTACACAAGGGCTGTCTGCGC